TAATATATATGCGTGTTTGAAATAAACAATAGGTCATCGTACTTCCAATATGGCCGATGAGTGGAAGGCGCAAACAGCGACACATTTGAACACGGCGGAAGAACACACCTTATGTTTTTACATCATGCTTGCAAGCATTAGTGCAGGCAACGCCACTTGCGTCCAATGTTTCAGTTTCGATTATCCAATTTATTATACTAAAAAAAAAACAAAATGTCTTACTACAAATTAACTATTGGAATATGGGATTAAACACAGTGAATACTCAATTACTTTAATGTAAAACAGTTTTATTTGAAGACTCGGAAAGAAAAACTTAACGATCTTTTCACCTCGATGCTCTGCTCGAGACTGACTAAAAACTGCAACGGAAAAACCGTTGCTTAGATCACAAACAAAGAAACGCAAGGGTCTGGGCCTGGAAGTGTTTATGACCCCGACTTTTAAGAGTCGGTTTGGAGCCAGATGCCCATTGACTAATGTCTAAATAATCTAGCCTGCGTTGGTGGTCTACAATATTTACAAACACAAAGATTATTTTTGCTTATTTCTTAATAATAAAAATCGAACATTAACGAAAATTGTATTTGACAAATGATGACAGGTTCGCGTGATGAGTGGGAGACTGTTATTCTCTTGGAGGCACCCGATCAGAGATCTAGCCAGAAAACGGTACTTCGCCGAGCAGAAGATCTTGAAGAGTTACCATGGCGAGCTGGCGAACCTGTTCTTCTCCGAAGACTTCGACGAGAAGGACGAGAAATCGTCACCGGAGGAAGAAACGCCTAAAAAGGAGACACCGTTCCAGAGCAGGCCAAGGTCGCAGGACACGGCCTACAATATGAGACACGTTGAGGAAGCTTGGCTTCATTTGCTCCGAGCTGGCGACGTTGAGAAGCTGAAGAAACTCGCGGTGTGCGCGTTCGATTTCCTATTGGCTGCCGTGCAAATGATCTCCGTGAGCTATCTGAGGTGCGTCCTGGAGCATTCGAGGAAATATCTGCTGGAGAGGGATTTGGAACTGGTTTATTACACCGTGAGGAAGTCCAGCGATATTTTGACCAGGGATCCTCTGCAGCTTGGGGCTCAGCTGATCTGCTGGCTTAGGCCTGTAGCCGAAGATGGCGGAGATTTGGTGAGAAATTATTTTCATCTTAAATAAAAAGAATTTATTTATATTTTATATTAGATTGAAAGGCTAAGGAAGTCACGTGGCTTTCATAACATTTTTTAGCAAAATTTTGCTTTGTTTCATCAATAAATAAGCAAAAATAGTATAAAATATGATAGATATGAAATTATGGCAGGCATGGGTAATTCATTTTCCCCACACTAGTCGCTCTCTCCACTATTCGTAAATGTAGATATGCGCCACTACATTACGTAGTGTCAAACATCCCCACCTGGGCCATCGTGGCTCCAGGGAGCCATTTTTACCCATGCCTGATTTACGGGATTATATTTTTTGTTCTTATGTGAGAAGATTTTTGGGTCAAGTATTTCTTTGAAAAGATCGAAGTTAAGTCTAGTGTGCTTTAGTCTTGATTTCATTCAAAGCAATATCTCTTGGATATAAAATTATGAATTAAGTTTATAAAAAGCTATTATAATTATGATTTTTTATCTATTTTGTAATGCTCACATTACTAAGTATTATCATATTTTCATTAAACGTGACTATGTTTAGTTGAGATAAGATTTAGAGCAGGCATGGCCAACTCATTTCTCCATTTTCTAATCCCCACCTCGTGCAGTAGTCGCAGTAAGTCGGCGGATCATAATACGCTTATACTACTTGACGCCACCTGTGCTCCCGTTTAGGGTTGTGTCGCGTATACGATATATTAAAATATTATAAAAAAATTACAAACTCATCGATAAGAGGAGTACTAACCTATTTCTACAATATTTTTTCAACCATCAGAGCATAATGAGTGTCGATTTTCAGTTAAGGACGTTAGTCCCAAAATCCATTGTCTATAGAATGTTTTGAAATTTTGCATGAGTATTCAATAGAGCATCACAAATATATGTGTAAAATCTTAGAG